AAACATTTTTTTCTTGTCTGTTTTTTAATAGTGACATGTGTTTTATAATAATAATAATAATAATAATAATAATAATGTTTGTTAAGATACGTTTTCAGTGTTTATAGAACTTTAAATCAAGTCCCTAAATCATGACACTCTTAGTACAAAGTTTAATCTACATATTAAAGGCATATGATGTATATAAATATTAGATACATATAGTTATTCACATCAGTTTCTCATTTCATTTCACAACACAAGGCTTTAGCATCTCTCTAAAACATTTCATATTTCCTCTATACAATACTTATGAAGGAGGTTATTCTGAATAATTGTCAAATGTTTCTCCTGATTGCGTTACTTTTTTTTCTTTTCATAAAATTAAAAGTTTTTTTAAATTTTTTTTTTTACATAAAAATTAAAGGTGCTTTAAAATAATATTGTTTTGCTAAATTAAATTGTACAAGTATATAGAACTTTAAATCAAGTGACTAGCTCATCTGCACAATAAAGGCCTATTACGTATAGAAGTATTAGATATTGCTTGCATATTTTATTTATGTATTTATGTCATTTTACAACTCAAGACCAAAACTGTAATTGCTGTACTTTCGCGTTTCTCCAAACGATTGGATTTTTCCTCAGTTTTATTTGTAAAAATGAAATTTTCTATTCAGATTTTGTGTCAAGTCTGAACATTTACCAAATGTTTTCTCCTGATTTCTTTGCTTTTCTGTCTTTTCATCCAGTTACAAATGTTCTTTTTTTGTGTTTGATTAAACTTTTTACAACTTACACATCAACTATTTAACAAGATCCTTCATACAATATTAATTTGTATATATTTTTGACACCGTATGAGTTAAATAATGAATTTAAGGTGCTTGAGGTGAGGAATACCTTTATCACAGTTAAATATTTTACTGATTAATATCGTAGATCTGCTCGAGGGGAGTAAATTTGTCAAATATTAGCTTTGAAAAAATAGATGATAATCCCTGAGATAATCAGTTCTCATCCCAGATCAATGAGATCTTGTTTGGTGGCAAACAAGTCTGATCCTCAGGCGTTAAAGACACTAATAGCCCGACTCACAAATATGCTGTGAACCTCTGACAGCCGACCTCTGGCTTCATAAGTCTGGCACAAATAGGATTAACACTGTAAAATATGGAGGACGTTTATGACCTGTAAGCAGATCAGAGGACCGCGGAGGCTACAGGTTATTAATACAGAGGATAAAGAGGAGCAACAGTCGTCTCCTTCTGTGTTTATGACGGGTAGAAAAACATTATTTCTTTGTGTTTTAAAGCCTCCAAGATGAACGCAGCAGCAGCAGCTCCCGGTGGCACCAAGGCAGCTCCTCCCAAGTTCAAGCAGAAGGAGACCAGGCAGTTCAAGAGCAAGGCTCCTAAAGCTGGACAGAAGGGGTGAGACGAATCATTTTCTGCATTTAGACATTGTTCTATTCATCTTAGAAGCAGAAAACCTGACTTTTATTGGTATCTGTGTTTCAAACAGCTTCGACAACGACGTCCCAGGGATGGAGGGGCTCGGAGGTGAGGCTGGATCTTACGTTTAGTCCGAATTTTCTCCATGTTTAAATGTGTTTTCTCATGATTTGGTGTTTTATTTCCTCTGCAGACGCTGCGGTCATCTGCCCCTGGGAGGCGTTTGGTGACATGGAGCTCAGCGACCTGGCTCAGTTTGGCATCGTTTAGACCTGACAGAAGTGGACTCCCACCCTGGGTCTGGACAGATGTGACCTAACGGTGTTTTGGTGCTGAAGACGAGGCGTATGGGGGGATTTCAACACGCTTTGGTGCAGCTGTCACTGTGGGGCAGATCTCTGCGGTCCCAGGGTTTATATGGAGCCTTTTCTGCAACCAGCTCTGCCAAAATCAAACTCAGTAGAGAACTTCTTGTTTATTCTAATCTATTCTGTCCTTGTGTTGTATCCTCTTCTATATTGTATTTGTTATAAACATGAACTACCTCTTACTTCCTGCACCTATTCTCCATCTTTTACCTTTTTGTAGTTCTACAAATCTGTAAATCACACAGGAGTGTAGTAAAGTCACTAAATAAAGTTGTTCTCATTAGTCTATCTGGTTTTGAGTCTCCTCCTCTATTTTAACATGTCTGGAAGGTTTCAGACAGTTAAGGCCAGTAATTAAAAACACCTTTGAAGAAGATTGATGCAAACTGTTGTGTTGATTTTTCTTGCTGAGCCGCTTGCCCATGTTTTCACTCTCAAATATGATATAGTAAGTTAAATTCTGGGTTAAATTTCAGTACAGCTGTAGTGCAATGAAAACCTGCTGATGAAGATCAAACACTGGCGGTCCTTCTGGACTTGCACTAAAGAAAAGAATCTAGTTACGCTGCACACTGGGAATAACAATGTATGAGAAGAAGCTGCATGCACAGGCAGATTATTGTTACCAGAATATTATCAGTGAAAAGATAATTATGTGTATTTATGAGATTTTACACCAATGAAAAGCAAAGTTGTGTTGAGTTTTCAGTACAAGAGTATGAGATAAAAGTCACACAGTGGTGGAATGAAGCTAAATTCATTTACTCCAATACTGTACTTCAGTGTTATTTTTATGTACTTGTACTTTTAGTACTTCACTGTGATGCTACTATTTACTCCTCGGAGGTAGAAGGAGATATGATGCCTTTGACATTGGACAAAATGAGATACATCAATATATTGAATAAAAATCACAGATATCCGGGGTTTGAACATAATTGAAAATATTTTGAATATTTTAAATGCACAAGTCAATAAACTATATCACAGTGGTTGAGTCATTTTAAGATATTTTAATACACAATGTAAGATTAGCTCCACGTGGGCCAAATCCAACATTAAATTTCTGTTTACATATAAAACATCCACGATAATAATTCTGTAATATATTGTTACACTCTGTGAGGCTTTTGTATCAGATAACATACACTTCTAATTCAGCTAATTTTGCTAATATTACTGATGGGACAACTTTTACTCATTCACGTAATACATTGGTATTGATCATTTTAAACTGTCAGAATACTTTTCCCTCCACTGATGACAAACTGGAACAAAGGTAAGGTAGGAGGGGTTTTACGGGGACCTTTAATCAAACCATAGGTTCTTTTTTATTCTTCTAATGACCACAAACTGATTTAATTTCCATGTTTCATCAGCACCTCTCAATATGGCGCCACTGACTGAAACATTCTAAGACATACAAATAAACTGTAAGCAAAGTCTGAGAAAAATAATCTTGTCTGTCAGTGCATGAAAAAAAATCAATGACCTCAACTTTAGAGGAATCTGGACAATACAAATAGTGCTTGCATTTCTTGTCCATGTTTTTTTTCTTTCTTTAACTCATGTTCTCTACATTTTGTCCCTATTGCTTCTTAAAACTGCAGATTTCCTCAATAAAAGATCATCTTATCCTATATTATCTCATCTTAACAGCCTATTGTCTATCTATCCATACATGCATATTAAAAACGTTGAAACAAATATCTATTATTTACCTCTAGTGGTGCCTCTTAATCCTGTCAGGCTCCATCTTCCTGATGTTACCGTCTCATGTCTCACCACTGCCCTCTTCTGCTCCTTGTTGGTCACCACTTTGTCTGGCTGGTTGACCGGCAGGAACTTTGAACTTTTTATCTCTTCTGATCTTAATAACTTTTGGTAGAGACTTGTAGGCCATACTTAGCACAGATATTCCTGTATAATATCCCAGCCACTTGGTTGAACCTTCTAGAAACCTACTTTTGTAGTAAACTACAGAATAAAACAACTAAGTTTCCTACTCAAACGAAAGACATTTGCAGCAACACCCTTGCTCCTGACAAAGGACGACTGATGAAGTGTGAGCAGGACATTAACAAAGCTACTATTAACCATTGTTCAGTAGCTACAGATCATACAAAAACAACTGGTGATTACAGCTCTACACAGAATACACATGGCGACTGATGATCCTGTTAAACCACAGCCACCAGGAAATATCAGGTGCATATTTAAACATAGGAGTGGTGATTTCTGTACTGTGATTGGATGACGGGACAGGGGAGTGGTCCAATCAGGAGGGAGGAGGAAGGAGGCCTGGAGCTCCTGACCAATCAGCCGGGACGACAGGCAGAATGCGGAACCAATCCTAGACAGGAGAACAAATCGGTTACATATATGAAGCAGGTCCAGGAAGAGGTCACCATGAGGAGGGAAGGTAGAAGGCCACCAGGAGGACACCAGTGTCTCTGAGGCAACTGCATTTTGGCTGCTTCAAACCAGCCTTATCTAGCCACTGGTAGGGTTTCCTGGTGTCAGCCACCCTAAGGAAGGAAACCTGTTCTATTTGTTCCCCTTATCACCAATAAGTTGTTAAAACTACCTTCCTTAAGCACACTCTCACCTTTAACCAGTCCCTGCTACTGAGATGATACGATTCTTATCCATCAGACAAGACTTTTAAGGAAACATTTATCCATCCTTCAGCAGAACAACAACCCCCCCAAAAAACTGTCTTCAACAACAGGAAGAACAAAGATTCCTGGAGCAGATGGTCTCAATCGAACCTGATCTCATGTAATCAGTCTGGATTACATGAAGACACAAAAGAACAGTTTGTTTTGCGCAACCTTCCTGCTGAAGAGAACTGGAGCTGTTTTCTAATTCTACCAGACATCGAGACCTGTTGATTAAGTCCATCCATCCTACTTTACAATTAAGTAGACACCGCAGTAATCGCAGTCTTGGCGCTTGATTGGAAGAGTTTTGCCAAATTTTCAGATGTGCTTGCTGACTACAGATCAAGTGATTAACTAGCTGATGGGATTAGCCGGGGCTATTAGTAACCTGCTCTGTAGAGAGAGAGAGGGGCTGGCCATCGGTGCAAAGCTCTTTAGTGTGACTGAACAGTGAAAGCAGATGCCTTCGTGACCTGAGGACAGGCAGCCAGAACCTTCATTCACACCATCGCAGCAGGAATACTTTTATCAGACCCATGGGGCAAGAAGAAAGCCGCAACGAAGAGATGGATCTGGCTCAGATTCAGGAGCTGTGCATCGTTTTCATGAAGGAGTGTCCGAGCGGTGCGCTGCACTTGCATGAGTTCAAGAGGATCTTCGGGGTCCAGAGCACCTCTGAGGAGGAGTCGCTCTACATCGAGACCATATTCCACTCCTTCGACACAAATAGGGTAAAAATAATTTCCTTTGGTACAAATAAATGTGTGTCTTATCTTATCTGTCTTCTAGCAGTAAAGTTAGATTCAAAGTGTTATCGTAACTTTTTTATTTATTCATCGCAGGATAACGCACTGGATTTCCTCGAGTATGTCGCTGCACTTCATTTGATTTTGCGCGGGAATCTCGAAGATCGACTCAAGTGGTCCTTCAAGATGTACGACAAAGACGGAAACGGCAAGTTGGACCGGCAGGAGGTGAAACGGATCATAAGGGTGAGAAACACCTCTTTTCATATGAACTTTTCATTGGGAAGCTTTTATTGTGTGACTCATTTTTGCAGTTTATACAGTAAAACGTTTGCAGAAAAGTGGAACAAAGTGCAGTGGGATAAATTCAGCTGATGCCAAATTGTCAAAAAACCACCTGGTTTCATAACACAAATCCTCTCAGGACAGATTACAGTAGTGCCCCAATGACTGGGATTAGGCCAGGGTTCATGTACTGTGGCTTCACAGGGTCTTAGACGAGTGAGTGGTCTCTGCTCAGGCTATTCTTGAAGTGAACATCTCCACAGTAAGCCACTTTCTAAATTCAGACACGTAAAATTAGCTCACTGTCAACATGGCCTGATTTGCTTGACGGGAATTAGGTAATATTTTTTACAGGAAAGAAAAGCATTTCATTTCCTTGAACTTTAGGTAGTGCTATGATGTTAGTAATGTGACACATATTTAGGAAACTTTAGAGAATCAAAAACACCACACTTTGTTTTTCGAATTTGTCGTTCTAGTTAAAATATTTTTCCTATCAACTCTCCGATGTCTCTATGAATAGCAGCCATTTTCAGACATGTGATATGCAGCATTACTTCATAAATCCGTTAACGCGATGGAATTCTGTCACTCAGACAACTTTAAATGTTCATCGCAGCATCTATCTATCTATCTATCTATCTATCTATCTATCTATCTATCTATCTATCTATCTATCTATCTATCTATCTATCTATCTATCTATCTATCTAT